GTTTCCTTATCATCCATTCTCTGTCCAGATGACACATCAAGTACCTTCCTACCTGTCTCTCTAATTACTGTTGCTGTAGAAGTACGGTCATTTGGAAACGCTTTCTTATCACCCAGAGCCATTAACAGCTCCTCTCTGAATTTCTCACAACATTCTTCCTTCTTCCACCATTTGGTCTTCTTCTCTGATTTTACTCTTTTTCTCTTCTTCATAACAACAGTCATTCTACACAGAACCATCCGATGCTGTCTGGCCACGCTCTCCCCTGCCACAACCTTACAGTCCCCAATCTCCCTCAGGTTTCCTCTTCTACACACAATGTAGTTGACCTGCGTACTCCTTCCTCCACTCTTATAGATCACTCTATGTTCCTCCCTCTTTTGGAAATAGGTATTTACTATAGCCATTTCCATTCTCTTGGCAAAATCCACCACCATCTGTCCTTCCTGGTTTATTTCCTTGACACCAAACCTACCCATCACTTCCTCAGCCCCTCTGTTTCCTTCACCAACATGTTCATTCAGGTCTGCTCCGATCACCACTCTCTCCTCCCTGGGAATACTCTCTCTTCATCCAGATCTTTCCAAAATGTATATTTCTCCTCCACATCACATCCAACCTGTGGAGCATATCCACTGATGATGCTTAGCATCAGACCTTCTACCTACAGGCACGTCACCCTATTTGATACTTTCTTCACCTCTACTACATTCTTTACCAACTCCTCCTTCAGGACCTTTCTGGATTTGGGTTCTGTTTATTGCATTGATGATTCAATGCAACAAAACAAACAAATTTAAAAGGTAACAGATCATTGTAATACTTGGTTTATTTACATAATGACTTTAATTGCTGAATATCCAGCCCCTGAGCTACTGGCTTTCAAAAACTGTGGCCCCCCGAGTAGTTTAGTTGAATAGTCCTGCTTTAGAGGGTAAATAATAAATTTAAAAAATTAAATTAAAAAATACTTTATTAATCCCAAAGGGAAATTAAGTGCTGTCGTAGCTCATCATCCTGGTTTTATTCGAGTTGTTAGATGCTGATGGCTGTGGGAAGGAAGGATCTCCTGCAGCGAATCTGAAGGATCTGCCACAGATACCGATCCGTTCACCCAGATCCAGCTTGCTGTCAGATCCGGCTGGCCTCTCGGTCTTCCTGGGCAGCAGGACTGCCTGAATGCTGAACAGAATTCCTCCCTGAGCGATGGTCACTCCTCCCGGCAGTCTGCAGAGCTCCTCGTCACCACGGACAGACAGCTGAAGGTGCCGGGGGAAGATCCTGGTCCTGATGTCACGAGTCGAGTTTCCCACCAGCTCCAGAATCTCGGCAGTCAGGCACTCGAGCACCGCCGTCAGGTTGACAGTAATTTGTCCACGGAGCCTCCTTTTCAACTCATTTGGGAGTTGATGCTGTAGCTGAGGTCTTTCAGCTTTTGAGATGTTAATCAGCTGCTCCTGATTGTTAAAAAAAACCACCTTGTTGCCATGGTTATGCATCATAACAAATGCCCAAAAGTAAAAACTTTTCAGTTAAAATCCTTCCAGCTGCACAGCATCATATACCAGAGGAAATAATCATCTGGAAAAAGTGATTTACATCCAGAAAAAGAAGAATTAAAGTTTCCAAAAGCAATAACAAAGAATGAATGTAACAGAGCTACTCCAACATGCAGCCACCTTGAGCAGCGCAAATCTAGAACTAGGTTCTAGTATAACTATAAATACAGTTTATTCAATTTCCAAAACCTAAACTCAATCTGGAAAAATGTAAAAGATGATAAAGCCCTGCGGCCAGCTTCTTGAGCAGCTGAATACAACAGTGATAAACAGGAAGTACCACATGTTTATCTGTAGGAAGGTAACTGCAAGTGAATCTTCCATTTTCTGTCATAATTACATTGTATGCTTAATGATTAAATAGACATTAATGCTTAAATGTAGTGGTGCTTTGTTTTGTGTGTTTTGTATGTAGATATAGCCATGTTGCAACTTCTGGTTGCATATATTTATGCTTTGTTATGATCAATTAACACTAAACTGATTTTGTACAAAATGTTTGTTAGAGTTTTTCTATTTTATCATTTTAAAATATTTTCTATCTCATTATATTAATATCTGGTTTCACATGTACTGAACAAAAAGTTTATTTCTTAGGATTTAATCTTGTATCTTGGTGTGGGTGTGTGAAAAGTTCTGCTTCTACATCAAGTGGACATTTATCAAGAAACTAATCTGATCAGACACAATCTCCTGAATGTTCTGACCCGTAATCGCTGATAAGATTTTGTTCATGTAAACTTGACCTGTTTCGTGTTCCACTTTTATCTAAATAAATACCAGACTCACCCAGCCAAACGGTAGAGTTCACTTGATATAGTCAGTGGCTCTCCCTTTGCAAAGGTTCTGAGCGCTAAAAACCCATCTCGCTGTGTTGTGTGAAATTATTTTCTTTAAAGGTCAGACAGAAAATTCCTAACAGTGTTTATTGTGTAATATAAAGCAGAGCGCTACATCTGTAGCATCTTAGCTAGCGCATTTGTATTGCACGGCACTAGCTTAGTGCTACTTCTTGTTGTGCCGAGCTCTCTAAAATACTTGTTGAATCAAGTGTTTACTTATATAGGCAAATGTAGATGTTTAACAACTCATTAAAATACACCAGAATGCAGAAAATGGCATCTACTTTATTCAAAATGTTCTGGGGGAGGACCCCCAGAGCCCTCAGGGTGTCTCCCCTCACACACATTACAAATGCTTCTGATGCCAATGGCCACCATGTTGTTCAAGCCAAGAGCCGTTGTCAACACTGGGGGCTGTGTGCTCCTAAAAGTCCGATTCTAGAATCGCCCCTGGTCTCTAGTGGAGTTCATCAAACACTGTTTTAGAGAACTTATGTCCATGTAGGTAAGTTTTGTCCAACACACAGGCACTGAAGATGGAATAAAAAAAACATCAACTGGAAACCTCTTTTGTACATACAGTACATACCATATTGATAACAAGATGAATGAATAGATGAGTAACCATAACTTGCTCTAACTAGCTTCTACATAAATCATACAAGCATATGACAGTAGTTTTTGACTTGTGCAGAACTCATGGTCAACAATGTAACAGCTGAACTAACACAGAACGTACTAGAGTGGACTGAGATGAGGGTGGCTGCCACACAGTGACATAAAGCAAAGTCAAAGTTTCTGTATTTGTCATTCGCACCACATGTGGTGGAACAAAACTGTGTACACAGGGTCCCAGTTACATCCAACAAAAGTATAAATTGTAATGAAAAACAGTAATAAGATCTAAGATGTGAACTAAGAAATATGCTAAACTAAGAACAAGCTAAGCACTAGTAATACAAAAACAATACGCTAAACATATCCACATATGAAGGAAAAATGCCAAACATGTAAGTCACATAAGTTTTGAATAAATTACCAGTACGCTGACGGCACAAGTTTGTCATATGCCAATGCCAGCCAAAGATTTTGAACACAAAATTTTCAGCATATGTAGATGCGTTGCTGAACCATTAGACATCATTTGCAGACATGTGACTGTAGAGAGCTGCCCTTTTCTGATGTCACGTGATTGTTGCAATATGCTCCAACATGCTGTGCACAAGTTACCCATAATACAAACGGTGTGCATACATTTTGCAAGTCACGTTTTTTTTTGTTTTTTTTTATTAACCTTTATTTAACCAGGCAAATCCCACTGAGATCACAGATCTCTTTTGCAAGGAAGACCTGGGCCTGAAGGCAGCCTAACTTGCATGTTTTTGGTCTGACCCGGAGAAAACCCACGCAAGCACGAGAAGAACATGCAAACTCCACAAGACCCCAGGTCCAACCGGGGATTGAACTCAGGACCTTCTTGCTGTGAGGCAACAGTGCTAACCACTGAGCTGTTGTGCTGCCAAGGTACTCATAGAAATTAATTATGTATACGCCACACAGTTTCTCAGCTGGTTTTTGATGTATGTCAACTTATGAGTAATTTACATGTGCATAAATTACCTGCTGCATATATCTTTTACCTAAACTCTCAGCAACATGCCGGCATGCACTGAATTTTGTGCATTAACATAATTATGGGCTGGCCATTGCATATCAGTCTGGTAACAGTTAAACCTTACTTAGGTGACTCCATCTCTCTTTTTTTAAATTTTAAAATTTAAATTTTTAAATTTTTTTGGCACAAGTTACTATGGGACAGGACCTTTACAGAAAAAGAAGTATAGTTTGGTGTGGTAGAAGGTGAGCATCATTTACAACACATACCCTGATAATGTCAACTCCAGATCAGAGCATGAGATGAGCAGAGTCTAAAACTATGA